CCCCAACACACCCCCCATTCCTGAGAGGCCCCGGAAAGACCCCGACGAGGCTCCAAGAGCAGCCCAAGAGAATTGCGAGAGCCGTCCCGAGAGAGCCCAAAGATGGTAAAATCGTTGACTTACATGCATATTTTTTAGCGGTGATTGCTTCTCTCTACTGCACTCGCTGGTCTAAGCGACTCGGATCCGAGATGGGAAGACAGAGCGGAGTTCGAACTCCGCAGTTAAACTTCACACATCATCCCCTTTCCAAAAAGGGTTGGGCGGGAGGGGAGCCCAGACGACTACTGAGTGACACGATGAGGTGATGAGACCGACATCCCAAAATCCGCTAAGTCATTCATGTGCACGCACCCCCATGACTTACATGCATATTTTTTAGCGGTGATTACTTCTCTCTACTGCACTCGCTGGTCTAAGCGACTCGGATCCGAGATGGGAAGACAGAGCGGAGTTCGAACTCCGCAGTTAAACTTCACACATCATCCCGAATCAGAAAACCCAAAACAGGTTCTGTTCTCACACTGATAAGTACAGAGCACGAGGGACAGCTAACAGCGTGAACGCCAGGGCTCTCTGGAACCTCTTTGGGATCTGGTGGGCGGGGCGAAGCGAAAAGAGGTGGGGCTGGTGGCTGTCACGGGAACGCTTGCCAGGGCACGCGAGGCCTAGGCGAGAACAGTCGGCAGACTGTATATTGAAAATGTACGAGACAATCGGAAATCTGCCACGACCTCCATATCTGCACATGTGCGAAACCTGACAGAGAGCACCCTCTAGTTCGTCAAACGCTCGGCCGACGTCTAAACTTAGCTTGGCACGGCACCCAATCATAACTGGGAGCCTCAACTTTACAGCAAGGGTGATCAACGAACGAGCTCGCATTATCGTGTCCGAATCGGTCACTGAGACAAACAAGGCAGCAATGCGCGACTCCTGAAAATCACGGCGCAGCGCGAGCAAGGACCCAAGCGACAGATCCCGCTCGGCCAGGCTCCTGGTCAAGAAACCCTGCCGCGTGACATGGTGCGGCTGCAGGAAAGCGTCGCCGACCATCAGCACGAAGAGACGACGCTCCCCTAACGGGAGGTGGAAGCGGGCCTGGGCACCGTGAGGCCGTGCAGCAAGATCTCCACGAATCTCTCCTCGCACCGCTCGGCGTGGCTCTGGCGCCAGGCCGGGTGGCGGGCCCAAGTGCTGGCCAGGCGAGCTCCCTTCTCGTACCGCACCACCGACCGATCGGCCTTCCAGCCGCCCCTCTTCTTGACCTCGACCAGGGTACGCCTGCGGGACGCCATGTCCGCGCTGGCGCCGCTGTGCCGAGCCTGGTACACCACCAGGTCGAAGCCGAGGTCCTTGGCGACTTTCGCCACTGTCGCCGCCAGCTTCGGGTAGGTGAACGACCACACCCGACGGCCCGCAGGCAAGCTCTTCAGCGTCGTGAGCATCGGAGCGAGGCGGGACCACCAGGCGTGGTCGAGCTCGATAGTCACGTCGAACTCCTTCGCCTTGGACGGGACCCCCTCGGGCTCGGGGTTGAGCTGGACCGTCCAGAAGGTCGACACCCGCGACGGCGGGTACAGGTACTCGGGCTTCAGGGCCATCAGCTGGATGGGCCTGGCGTAGGTGCTCCACATCAGGCAGATGAACAGCGCCATGTCGAAGCGGCCCAGCAGCACCAGCCCGTTCACGATGGCACACCAGACGGGCCACGCCTCGGGCAAACGAGATGTGGACGGGCAGAGGTTCTGCCAGCCCTTGAGCGCCCTCCAGCTGCGTGACAAGGTGTGGGGTCCGTTCTTGCCCACTCTCGGCTGGCCGTGAACCACGCCAGCGATCAGCTTCATCCCGCGAGCAGCCGAGACGCCCCGACGGATCTGCTGGTCCATGTAGCTCACCAGCAGGTCGTCCAGGTCCGTGATCGGGATGTTGGTCAGCTTCTCGGCATTCGCGAACGTCCTGAACGCAGCCACCTCTTGGGCGTACTGGGCCTCCGTCCTCGGCCTTACGGCGGCGTGTTCTCCCGCCGTGAGGTGGGCGAAGTCTGGCAGCGTCCTGGCCGACAGGAGGGTCTCGAGGGCCTTCTTGGCTCGCGGCGGAGGCGTACGAGTACGAATGGTCGTACCTGGCCCTGGCTCGGCCTCGGGCTCGCTCTCCGAGCTCGAGGGAGCCTCCGTGTCCAGTCCACGCTGTTGGCGGCGCCGCAGCTCCGACAGCAGCTGCGCGACCTCGTCGTCCGAGATCTCCCAAAGGCCCGCCGCCGTCTTCAGCGCCCTGGCCCCCGCCTCGCCGTTCGCCCACGGAACACGGGAAGTGCGCGGCCGTGAGACGGATGCGACCTCCGTCGACGGGAGCCGACGCTTCTTCACAGGATCCGCCAGTGCGACATCGTTGCGAGGCTGAGAGGAAACCAAAGTGCGGGTGCTCTTGGATGTAGTCGCTGTCGGATGAATCATGTAAGTCAGGTTGGGCCAAAACGGCTACGGAAGAAGGACCCCCCTGAGGCTCGTCGCCAGCACAGGGCTCCACCCGAGAGGGGCTCGCAGCAACAGGCGGAAAACCGTCATGGGGGGCGTGCCCTATCGGATCGGGGTGGTCTTTCCATCAACCTCCTTTGACAAAAAAGAGACTTGGGCTGAAAGAGACGGGACGGGGCATCAGCAGGATTCTTTTCGGACGGCGCCCACCGAACCGAGAGACGAACGTTGCGGCTGGGACACCACGCGGCCATCCTCCTCAGGATGACGAGAACTTTGAAGTTCCGACACCTCCACCTGCCCACTGAGAGCACCAGGCCGAGATTGTCGGCAAAAAGAACCTGGCGAATGTTGCGATCAAAACGTGTGCGGGTCACGCGCTCGAGCCCGCGGAGCAGCGCCCGAGCCTCCAGCACCAAGATGTCCTCCTCGCCCGAGAACGGCCAGCCGCCGATGGTCCTCCAAGACGTGCTCTCCAGCATGGGCGAGGGCACCTCCGCAAAGGTGGGGTCGGCCATCAGGCCGCTCGTCCCGCAGGCGCCCCACAGGTCGGCAGGCTCGGCAGGTACAGAGGTCGCCGACTGGGCCTCTCCAAGAGCGGCGGCCCGAGCGGCGACGTGGTCGGGGTCGAGGTAGCGATCGCGTTCACGAATACGACCCACTGCCGCAGCCTCGTCGGCACCAACCCAGCGGCTGCAAAGCCCGTAGCCCCACTCGGAGGCGTCCGAGGCCACGATCATGGGGTTCCAGTCCGCCTCCCAGTCGGACACGAGCAGGACCATGAGCCCAGCGAACGCGCGTAGCTCGTCCGCGGCCGACGGCCAGAGGGCGACGGGCTGGTCGTAGTGAGCCCTGATGAAAGGGTAGACGGTGGTGAACACCGACAGCGTCTCGCGCCGCAGCAGGCCGCAGAAGGTGGCGTGGCCGAGGATGGCCCCTCGCACCCTCCAGAAGCGCTTGGCGGTGAGGCGGGCGTGCCGCCTGCGGCCGTCCAGCAGAACGCCCAGCGCCCCCACCCCCTCGTCGGAGACGCCGACCTCGTGCACCGCCAGGCCGCGAGACTCGAACGCCGAGACCACGTCCTCGAGCTTCGAAGCCACGATGCGGCCGTCGGCGCCGAACACCCCGATGTTGTCCACGTAGATGTAGTGGCGCGTCGCAGTGGCGCCCGCGCCCCGCAGCGAGAGCACGAGCGGCTGGCCACGGTCGCGTAGCAGCTCGGCTCGAAGAAGAACCTGGCTGGCGGCCTCCTCGTCGATGTCCTGGGCGAAAAAGAGGCCCCAGGCGAAGCCCATGGGGAGGCAGCTCGGCATCGGCGTGACCCAGTCGTCGGGCGCGAGGGGGCCGTCCTCGCAGGAAGTCAGCCCCACGTCTCGAGCTCGCACACGGGGCAGGCCGAACCAGCGAGACAGCCACATTGGTATGCCCATCCTGTGGAACGCGTCCTGCACGTCAGCTGTGCCACAGTAGAGAGATGAAAAGTCTTGGTCGTCGGGAAGCTCGACCTCTATACTGCCTAATCCCTCGGCCGTCAAAAGGTCGACGCGCGGCGGCGGTCGAAACCACCGATTGGTCCGCCGCGCGTCGAGGATAAGTCGGAGCTTCCCACTCTTTTTTCGAACGAAGAAAAGTCCTGTGCGCTCATGCGCCCACTTGCCGAAGACTAGCATGTTCCTGGCCTTCAGGTCGCGCACGAAGCGGGCGTAGAGCTTCGGGTTGCTGGCGAGCTGGGGATCAACATAACATCGATCAGCATCGCCAGCCAACGTGTCACTAGCACTGGGATCGAGCATGCGCCCTCCTGCACCCTCCAGGTATGCACGGCCACGATCCCCCACCAGGTCGAAGACGGACGACACCCCATCTCGCTTCTCAGGCAGGAAGACCCGACCTCGCTGGTACGGCGCGAGCGTAGTCATAGAGGCGTCCATCCTGTAGCCAGACGCCTTGTCACAGAGCAGCTCCCGAAGGGCCACTTCTGGCGGCAAGTCGTACTCATGGCCACCGTCGCGCACCTGGAGCGCAGCCAACTGCTCCACGTAGGACAGCACCTCGTCACGCTCGCGGGTCACCTGGCACTGGCCGAGCTCCGAAACATGTTGAGGCCGCCCGCGGAGATCAGGAAGTCGGTGGTCATCGGTCTTAGCAAGCCAATTAAGTGCATTCGAAGCGCCCTCGACGAGTTGCCGCACGTGGTCACGTCTGCGGTATCTCTTCGACCGACGCCCTCCCGAAGTCGGCGCAGACTCCAAAGGCGGCAGCGCGATCGGGAACTGGTCAAAAAGCTTGGGGCGTCCTCCCGCCCGAAAATCCCCCACTCTCAACGGGCCGCGGCATGGAGGGCCAATCCGCGACCCGTCGTCTAGGTCACCCGCCATCAGGGGCGGCCGCATCGCCTCTGCCGCGGCCCCCCCGCCCTGCCCCAGCACCGCGGCCACGGCCGCCGTCGCCACGGCCCGCAGCGCCCGACGGGGCGGCGCTCGGGTCGGCGCCTTCCGCGGGCCGCGGATGGCGCAAACGAGCCTGCTCCAGCTCGTTCTGGTCCTTCACCTTGGTCAGGCCCCACTTGCGCAAGGAGGGGGCAATGGCGTCGATCGAGTTGGCCTCGCCCTCGTAGACGCCTGCCATCTTCCAGCTGGGGACCCCCCCGCCTGCCGCGTAGGCGTCGATCACCCCGCAGATGCGTCTCGTCAGCTTCTCGATGCCCGCGGAGGCACCCAAGTTGAGCTGGTCGTATTCGCCGAACAACTTCAGGCTCTCCGTGAGGTTCGTCATCTCGTGGTAGACCCTGTCCGTCTTGCTGATGCCGTGGTCCCGCGCGAAGCCCTGCCACCAGCGCCGCGGGTCCCCGCCGTGCCGCTCGATGAACCGAGCGAGGTGGAGCGTGCCAGGCGGGCCCTGCACCTCCACGGCCGTGATGGGCTCCTCGCGGCTCTCCTGCACGGCCTTCTTGAAGGACTTGAAACGGTTCCCAGACTCGTCGTAGTCGACCCACAAGGTCCTGACGTCGTCGTCGACCTCGACGGGGGGAGTCTTCGTGCCGCCGATCGCCAAGGCCCCAGCAGGCGGCTCAGCAGCAGTCGACTTGTAGCGAGCCTTTAGGCGGGCAACGAAGTCGGCGCACTCGCTGGACGGCACCGAGCGAATCCTCAAGAACCCGCCGTGCCGATGCACCAACCCGTCGTGGCTGGTGATGGCGATGTCGCCAGGCCTCAACGTGACCTCCAGCCCGAGGGTCTCGTGCTCGTTGGAGTTCTCGCACACAATCCAGACACGACCCTCGGCGGGCTCCTCGCGCGCACGCAGGGGACCGAAGGGGTCCTCGGTAGCGTCTCGCACAGCGTCCAGGCCGACCGCGCCAGCGGGCCCCGCGGGAGCCCCAGCGCCGTCGGCGTCGCCGTCCACGGCCGCGAGGCGGCCAGCGGCGGCCGCGCCTCCAGGGGCCTCGGGCCCCCCCGCAGGCAAGGGCGCGGGGGCGCCCAGGCGGAGCCGCCTGCCCACGCCAGCCAGCGCCTTGCGAGAGCCCGCGTGGTCGATGTAGTGAGTCATCGACAGCGGCTCCTCACCAGCGGCCCTGATCTGCTCGACCTGGGCCCTGGCCCAGTCCACGATCTGCTGGCTGCTTGGATAGCGGTCTCCAGCAAAGCGGTGAAATTTACCTCGCAGGCCAGCTGGACAATTCCCCATGTCGTCCAGGAGGACGATGGCCTCGCCTTCGTCGCCCTCCATGGTCATGTCCTCGTCGTATTTGTCGTGGTCGGGCGTCAGCACCTCCCAGCGACTCACTCGGCCGAGCGGGTCGCGAGCGCACGGGCCGAGGACCACCCTCTCGTGGTAGAGGTCCTCTCCTGGGTATCTGACCGCCACGAGGCGGCCAGGGAGGAGCTCATTCAAGAACTCCCGCACCGTAAGACGCTCGCCTGTGGCCCCGAGGCGCACGGCCCGCGGCGCCAGCGCGAGCGCCATCCCGCCGACAGCAGTAGCACTTGCCGAAGAAGGTCACCCAGTAGATGAACTGCCCGAAGCCGAAGAAGCCCACGCCGCCCGCGAACAGGGCGAAGTCCCTCGCCCCGCTGTTGCACTGAACCTCGCACACGCAGCGATCAGCGGCGAGCTGCTGCGCGATCTCCTCCACGATGCCAGGGTGGACCCAGCTCACACGGCAGACAGCGTCGTCCCGCGCAGGCGGGGCGGGAGGCGGTGCCAGAGCCTCCGAGCGGCACCAGTCGGCGTCGCCGCCGTCCCAGGGCGGCCGCCGCGCGAAATGGTCCCGCACCACGAAGGTTAGGAAGGCGAGGAACGCTCCCGCCACACCCTGCATGCGGCGAAATCTCTCGAGCCCAGACGACTACTGAGTGACACGATGAGGTGATGAGACCGACATCCCAAAATCCGCTAAGTCATTAATGTGCACGCACCCCCATGATGTCCGATGGTTTTTCTAATGTGTTTCGCCTTTTCACGTTTTCCTGCTTCCAACCCTCGAAGATAGAGGATTTTGAAAAGAAATTGAATTCCCAGAATCCCCCCTTTTTTTCAAAGTGGGACTCCTACTCGGGGGTCCTACACATACCCTGACATCTGGCCGGTACCGCGCCTCCCGGCTTCCCAGGGGGAGACCCCAAATCGCCGAAGGAAAGCCCATGACGACCCCAAGGAGCCCCCAGAACGTAAAGAACGGCCCAACACGCTCCCGCGCAGCCCGCGACACCCTTCCGACGGCTCTCCAGGCCTCCAGGAGGCCTCCAGAACCCCCAGGGGGTCTGGAAGATCCCACACCCCTGAGGGGCCCGGCTAACAAAACCAGGCACAAACAGAAAGCAGCGCCGAACAGCGCCGAGGAATTGGAAAAACATGGAGATCCCACAATTCCTTTTTTTTTCAAGTTTGGCCCCGAGTACTCTTACACAACAGACCACAATTCAGACCCCCCTCACCTCCCAAAAAAGGACCCAGGAAACCTTCTGCGTTTCGGCGTCTCCCCGTCTATACGATTCCGGGGCTTGCGCAGGGCCTCCAAGGGACTCCCTGGACACAAGAAGCGACCAACATGAGATGTCATGAGTCAGCCGATCAAGCCTAGCTAGAGCTTGAGCGCGCGCGAAGCGCGCGCGATGATTCTATATGTATAGATTTACCAGCCTGTATGTACATGCGTGTGCGTGTGTGTGTGTGTGTGTGTGTGTGTGTGTGTGTGTGTGTGTGTGTGTGTGTGTGTGTGTGTGTGTGTGTGTGTGTGTGTGTGTGTGTGTGTGTGTGTGTGTGTGTGTGTGTGTGTGTGTGTGTGTGTGTGTGTGTGTGTGTGTGTGTGTGTGTGTGTGTGTGTTGAATAGCAATATGCATGCTTCACACATATGGATTCGCATGTACCTGTGCTCACATAAATGTACAAGTGTTGTGAGAAATAACATGATATGAAACATGCATGTGCGTGTGTATATATATATATGTGTGTATGTGTATGTATGTATACCTCTATATATTCATATGTGTGCCTATTCTCATACATAATTTATATATGTATACAGACTGATAGAACGTAGAGAGGGAGAGACATACACACATCAAAGGGATAACCAGAAATAGAGAAAGAGAAAAAGGGAGAGAGATAGGGAACGCGGCCCATACATGTACATGCATAATGAATATGTATATTTGAGATGTGCTAGTGGACGTCTCTTTATGTATATGTATATATATACACACAGAGAGAGAGAGAGAGAGACAAACAAAAAGAGAGAGCCAGAGAGAGAGAGAGCCAGAACAAGAGAGAGAGAGAGAGAGCGGGAACCGGGAATAGGAAACTGGGAATTGGGAGCTGGGAGCCAGGGGCTGGGAGCCAGGAGACAGGAGCCGGGACTTCCGATCGGGGATCCGGGAACCGGGAAAGGAGCCTGGGATTTGGGAACCGGGAGCTGGGATCCAGTATTTCGGCGAGTGAAAGATTTTTCTTCTTCCTCCTCTTTCTCTCCTCCTTGTCCTCCTCCTCATCCTCCTCCTTTTTTCCTCCCCCTCCTCATCCCAATCATCCGTACTATTATTTCCACCATCATCATAATCATCATCATCGTCATCATCATCATCACAATCATCATCATCATCATCATCATCATCATCATCATCATCATCATCATCGTCATCATCATCATCATCATCATCATCATCATCATCATCGTCCTTCCCTCCCTCCCTCCCTCCCTCCCGCCCGCCCTCCTTCCCTCCCTCCCTCCTCCTCTTCCCCGTTCGTCCTCACTCGTTTTCCCTCGTCCTCCTCCACCTCCTCCTCCGTCTACAGACGCCTGGACCTGTGCAAATACTGTGCTGGCATGTGCCTGGCATGTGCTCGGCATGTGCGGGATGCGGAGGACGCAGCCGAACACAGCCACGTGCATGGCCTCGGCCCGCGCATGCGGGCTGGGCACAGCCCTGGCGCATGCCGGCGCACTGTTCGCACAGCTCCAGGCGACCAGGAGAGGAAACGAGGGGAGGAACAGGAGGAAGACGGAGAACGGAGAAGGACGGAGGCCAATGAGGAGGAATAAGTACAGGTAGCGCAAGGAGGGGCAAGGCGGAGGACGAAATGGAGGAGGAGCAGGAGGAGAAGGAGAGACGTACACAGCTTGGCCCATGGGGATGGTTGAGGGCATGCCAGTTTTGAGTGTGTAGCGAGTGCGTGTGTATGGGTACGTGCGGGCGCGTGCGAGGGGGCGGTGGCGACCGCAGTGTCCCGCACAACCTTGCACTGGTGGGTGCGCACCGACTGCACGGCAAAAATGAACGAGCACACTCGACAGAAACACAGTAGATATGATTATGAGCCATATGAGGGTGGGAGGAAGGAGGGAAGGAAGAGCATATAAGAAAAAGAGGAGGAGGGAGAGGCAAAGAAGAGGATGATGAGGTTGGACGAGAGAGGAAGGAGGAGGAGAAGGAGGAGGAGACAGCCCCATACCAGGTGACAAAGATAGGGGCTCCGTTTTTCGTGCAAGGGTCCTGATAGCAAGACCTTGACCGTAAGCTCGAGGACCACACCACACGGTCTACCCGACAGATGTTCCAGACGGCCGTCGGAAGCGTGTCCGGCACCATGGGAAAGCGTCCAACGAGGCGCGGGCATTGGAACGCATATTTGAGCGAGAAGCCACAGAGAGGGGGAACGGGGAGAGGGATGGCGAGGTGGGGATACGAGGATGACAAGGGAAATGACGAGTGGAACGGAGAGGACAAGGACGGGGACGATGAGGAGGGGTGGTGGACCCCCTCTGCCTCTCCGATGGAGGCCCGCGTCGTCGCCCAGAGCCCAGTGCGGCGATACGAAAAATGCAGGCGCGCAGCGACAGCGAGACGCATAAAAGGCACATGGTCGATGGAAGTAAAAGGTTGCAAATCACGCTCTTCAGAGCGAGCGAGCACAGTCTATGATACTGGAGGCGCCGCTTGATTGGGGCACGCGACACAGGACAAGCATGTACTTATGATATGACCACAAAAAGAAGTGTGACACCGCACTGTTGCGGCAGTTTGGCCTTAGAGAAGAGGCGTCTGGGCGAGGTACGGTGGAGGAAGCACGCGGACGCAGTTGCATCATAAGCGATGAGAATGGGGACGGGGCGACGGGGGCATTGCAATGGCATTGTGGGTGCCGAGTGGTATTGGACAACCGTCGACGTTGACGACCGACGACGACCACCAACGACCGACGATCGCCCACCGACCACCGACGACCGACGCCGCCGCCGCCGTCGCTGCCGACGACGACGACGACGACAACGATAACCAACAACTGACGATTACGACGACGACAACGACCGACGACGATCGACGACCGACGCAGGCATCGACATTGGCGTCGACGACGACGGCACCGACGACCGACGAGAACACCGACGACCGACGACGACTCCGACGACCGACGACGACGAAGGGATCTCTTAATCGTGGAATCGAAATCTTAATCGTGAGTTTTTTGTTTTAAAAGAAGGCAGAGGTTTTACGCTGGCTTTTTACGTGTTGTGTTCTACGTAGCGTGTTTTGCTCAGCGTTTTCTACGTAGTGTTTTTCTATGTAGTGCTTTCTACGTCGCGTTTTCTACGTAGTGCTCTCTATAGAGTGCGCCGCTCGATTAGGCGCTGTACTAGGGTCTGTACTAGGCGCTGTACTAGGCGCTGTGCTAGGCGCTTTGCTAGGCGCTGTGCCAGGCGCTGCGAAACTGAATACCGCGAATCGAAACGCGAAGCCCGCAAACCGAAGCCCGAAGCCAGAGCATCCCAGACAATCGAACCAGAAAGCCAGCCCGAGACGCGGAATCAAGAACAGCGAACATCCGAAGCCACCGAAACCCGAAAGACTGCCCGAAACGCGGAACCGAACACATCGTAAGCCATAGCATAGACACCCGACAGCCGGCCCGCAACGCGGAACCCAAAACATCGGAAATCAGAAGCCAGAGAATCGAAACCGAAAAACCCGCCAGAAACGCGGAGCCCAAAACAAAGCAAATCCGAAGCCAGAAAGCCGAAACCCGAAAGCTAGCCCGAAACGCGGAACCCAAAAAGTCGAAATCCGATGTCAGAAAACCGAAGCCCGAAAGCCGGGCCGAATCGCGGAACCCACTTATGCGGTGTCTTCTACGCAGTGTCGTCTACGCAGTGTTTTCTACGCAATGTTTTAGCGCGCGCTTCCTTGAACGTTGATTGAAAGGCGCTTGCTCAAGCACATCACGTAAAACACCACGCAGGAAACACTGCATCGACGACACTACGTAAACAAGACATCACTGCGTGAAAAATCATTGCGTAAAACAACAATGCGGAACATAGTATGTATGTGTAGAAAACATTGCGTAACAAAAACACGCTGTGTAGACAGCCGTGCTTAAAACACACTGCGTAAAAAAAACAGCGTCCGAAAACATTGCGTAAACACACATCTTGCGCAAGAGACACACAGCACCAAACACATTGCGCAACAACAAACCACACGGCTTAAACCAAAAAAGTGCGTAAAACAAATGGCGTTGAAAACATTGCGTAAAAGATTAGCGCAACAACGAAATGATCGTAAACCACAAATTAAGAATGATTGCGTTGAAAACACTTCGCAAAACACATTGCGTAAAACCATTGCGTACAACGCACTGTGTTCAAAAAACGTTGCGTGAACAAAAACACGCCGCAGACAAAAAAACAGTTGCGTTAACAAAACGCTGCGTAAAAACACTACGACAACAAACACCGAAAACAAGCACGGCGTAAACAACATTGCGTACAACACATTGCGCTCTTTAAATAAAAATCACTGCGTGCAACGAACACTGCGACAGACCGCACTGTGCAACAACGAGACGCTGCGTAGAAAACATTGCGTAAACAACACTGCATAAACAAAACGTGCATTGCGTTAATACCAATGCGTTCAAACACACACAGCGTTAAACATACTGCGTAACAGACATTGCGTAAGAACACTTCGTTAACACACGCCGCGTGAAAAATACTGCGTGGAAAGCACTGCGTAAACAAAGCACTGCGTAAAAGAGCTCGGCGTTAAAAACACCGCATTAGAGCATTGCGTTGCAAACGCTGAGTGAAGTAACGCTGCGTTGAAAACACCGCGTTGAACACACCGCGTGACAAAAACAAAAACGCACGGCGTCAAAAGCACTGCGCGAAACCCAAGTCACTGCGTGGAAAACACCGCCGTGGACCACACTGCGTGACAGAACACTGCATGAACAAGCACTGTGTTACAAACACCGCGCAGATGACCTCAACACGCTTAAGACCAAGCGCCCAGGCGCCGGGGGCGGAGCGGCAGGCGGCCAGCACGCCGAGGAAGCGCGCGCGGACCTCTGGCGGCCACGTGTGGAGCCGCAGGGCACGTCCAGGAGGGGGGGGGCACGAGGAGGAGGGGGAGGAGGAGGAGGAGGGGGAGGAGGAGGAGGAGGAGGAGGAGGAGGAGGAGGGGCACGAGCGACCACGACCAGCGACGCCGACGACCGACGACACCGACGATCCACGGCTGGCGCCGAGCGCCCGGCTCCCCCGCGCGCTCGGCGCGCGGCGGCGCGCCAGGGCTCGGCGCGTGGTGAGGGCTCGGCCGCCGCGGCGAGCCCGCCGAGGGAGAGCTGTGGTCGACGTCGTCGGTCGTCGGTGCGTGCCCAGGCAGGATCGCGTCGTTAATCGGGGGAGAAAAAGATACGGATACGTGTTGTCCCCCTTCGTTTTCGGCCTTTCCTGGTCCTCCTGGGGAATCCTCGTTGTCACCGCTGGATTCGCCTCGAAATTCTGGTCAGAACGCACCCCAAGAGAGGTCCTGGGACAACACGTATCCGTATCTTTCCGCCCCCCAAGCAAGTTGTTCATGATTTTCGGCCCCGGGGGGCCCTCGCTGGGTCCCGGGAGCGTCAAAAAGCAGCTCCGATTGGAAAGCCGGCTCCGGGGAACGGGTCTGGGCTTCTGGGGGCGCCGTTTTGAAAAAATCAGGACGTCGCATGTCTGGGTGGTTGACGTCGTCGGTCGTCGGTGCCTGGAAGTCGTCGGCCGTTGTCGCCGGTCGTCGGTCGTCGACGAGAGGGGGTCGTCGTCGAGCGTTGGTCGACGGGGGTCGGAGGTCGTCGGCCGTCGTCGCCAGTCGTCGGTCGTCGACGAGAGGGGCTCGTCCCTAGACATCGGGCTGCTCCAACTGTTTCGATGCGTGGGCCCTGGAGGTCCAGACCACTTCTCCAGGGCCGGCTCTTCGTCCGGAGTCGTTTTTGTTGACATCCCGAGGCCCAGCGAGGGCCCCTGGAGGCCGAAAACGGCCCAAAGCCGCCCGCTACAATGCTTTTGGAGCGTCGGATCTCTGGGTCGTCGGTCATCGAACGCCGGTCGTCGGTGGTCGAACGTCGCCGGCGTCGGTCGTCGGTCGCCGGTCGTCGAGGACGAGGGGCTCGCGAGGGCGGGGGAGGGCGGCCGCGCCGCTGCGGGGGCGGCTGCCTCGCTGCTGCACTTGGCGCGCAAGCTCGTCGTCATCCTCCTCCCCCTCCTCCCCCTCCCCCTCCTCCTTCTCCCCCTCCTCCTCCTCCTCCTCCTCCTCCTCCTCCTCCTCCTCCTCCTCCTCCTCCTCCTCCTCCTCCTCCTCCTCCTCCTCCTCCTCCTCCCCTCCTCCTCCCCCTCCCCCCCCCCCTCCCCCTCCTCCTCCCCCTCCTCCTCCTCCTCCTCCTCCCCTCCCTCCTCCTCCCCTCCTCCCCCCTCCTCCCCCTCCTCCTCCTCCTCCTCCGTAGCCATTTTGGCTCAAGATGATTCCGCCCCGTGGCAGAGCACGGAGACCCTTGGTCCAGGGACAGCTAAGGACCCGCTTTCATATCCACGCCCTCCTGCTTCCCTGCGGGTTGAGCTTCATATTCGGTGCTGCATTCGCCTGCAGTTACCTCCACGCGCGATCGACTGAGGCTGGCGCGGGCCTCCGACTGACGACATGGGACCGCCTGGAGAGGGCCTGGCCAGCGCAGCTTCGACCCCTCGCGACGGAGCAGCAGATCCAGCAAAGCGACAACAAGACCCTTGGCATGATGGCGCTTCCAAACTTGCCGTTCACGACCTTCCCGCACATGTACGAAAGCAGCTCGAGGAGACCATGGCCGCCCAGATCAAAGACGCCTCTGAAAAGTTCGAAGCCACTGGTTCTGGTACTGGTGGAAGGGGATGTAGGCCGGGGGGCCTCCCTTCGCCTCTCCGGCAACACCCAGGTCGTCCCGGGCCCCAACCCCAGAGGGTAAAGTGCGCCGCGACAAGGCGGGGGCGGGGACCCCGCACCGGGAGAGGCACGAGGGGGAGCCCGATCCCCTGCCCCACCGCGGCGGACCCCACCCCCCAAGAACCCCAGAGCAGTAGAGGTGAGGGGGGAGAGAAGACCGGGGGGGACAGAGGCGGAGAGGTCCAATTTTACACCAGAGAAAACCCAATCCGTAGGAGGCCCGACAAATTCGCAACTGCCAATCTGTTCTAAAACCGCTAGGATCCCTTAAGTGCAAGCATTGATTGGGGAATCAAAGCGAGAGCCCCATACAGGGGATATCGACCATCAACCTTGTACCATGATGGCGCAACAACGGGATATCCAACCTTGCGGCGCCCGTCCTGGAAGAACATGCCGATGATAGAGGCACGCGTGGGAAATCGAATATTGGCACGCTTAAGTCCGATGAGCACGGCGACCGGGGCGCACAGCACGCCCTGTGCACACACGCGCCCACACACACACACAACAGATACGCACAACACGTCCTGCGCCCTCGCACAACGTCCCCGTACGCGCACCCCTCCGCGTGCGAATATCGTGACACGTAGTGCCCACAACCGCGGCCTCTCGTTCCAACTGGCTCGCCCGTCAGCCAGGCCAGGGGTTCAAGGCCCCTCGTCGCCAGGGGTTCAAGGCCCCCCTCCCCTAGGAGACGGTACAAGGCCGCCTCCCGGCGCAAATGGGGAGACCCGCGGACGGGCGACGACGGCCCAGCTAACAGGCGAACCCAGCGGACGGACGGCGGCACACGTGCACCCTGGCGGACGCGAAGCACCCTCGGAAGGCCCTCTTCCCCCCCGCCTCCCCTCCCGGCCCTCCCCCCACCCCCCAACCTCGGACAGCCCAAGACACGGAAAGGGTCGAGAGCCCCAGCTGGGTGCTCGTGGCACCCGCGCAACAACAAGGAGAGACACCGTAGGATCCGCGGGGCCCGAAGCCAAGCCCGTAGACCGGGTACGCCGGCTCCCGGTGATCAGGCGGCAGCCGGCCTCACGCTACCGGACGTACGGGGGTGGACTCCTATAGGAATCCGAACCGCCCCCGCACATACATGGCAGCGAGCTGTGCCCTCCCGCCCCACGCGGGTTTCGAGCCGACCCAAAGCGGTGTGAAAAAACGAATGTCGCAGAAAGGACTCCCTAAGCCGGGGAGGCAGGTCCACACCGCAAACACGCGCAAGGCCACACGGGGCGACGAGAGGGGTCGCCCGGGCCGAGGGGAACCCAGACGCCCCCCCGCCGTGGGGTTGGCCGCCCCCGGGGCGCCGACCCAAAACCACGCGCTCTCTGCCGCCAGCCCCCCCGAGCGCCCCAGGGACGTTGCCCGCGGCCCAGCCGGGTGGCTTGGGCACATTTGGGCCTATGGTGGCGCCAAACCAGCACAACGCTGCACCCCAGGCGCAGGAGGATTGCTCCCGTCCGACTCGGCGGTCTATGGACGTGCCGGTGTGGTTGGCGGCCACACCCGGCCCCGGGAGCAGGGCGTGGGCCGGTGAGAACTACGGGCGCGCCCCCCGACAACCTAGCAAAGGCTGGACGTGGCATTTGTTCCGAGGATCCAAAACACTGCATGGAGCAACCCAGACGCGAGACCCGAGACCCTGCACGCACCAACCCAGCACTCATGCCACGCCGCGCAAACACGCAAGCACATAAGTACACGCCAGGCACATGCAACACACAAGCGCTCGCACGCGCGCGCAAAAAAACTATCAACCCTTATGTTGCCAATATCAACCCTTATGTTGCCAATATTCGTAGTTCCGCCGTGCCAGTTCGAAGCCACTGCCAAAGCAGTCACAGCCAAAGCCAGCTCCGAGTTTCTCGCCTCCCTCACGCAGATCACGTCCGACCTCAGCAGACGCCACGAAGCCACAGAGAGAGCTATTACCGCAGTCAACCTCCGCACAAATGCCCTGGAGGTGCAGAATGCCGAACTCAAGTCCGCCGTCGCCAAGTTGGAATCCATCATCACAGCAGCTGAAGCACGCGCCCCCGCTCTCAACCTTGACGGCCTGGGCAGCTGGGGCCGCGACCCCGACGTCACGACCTTCTGGTGCAGCAGCCCACAAGAATTCGGACAGCAGCATCTCGAAAAAGCACTCACTTCCTGGTTTCACGACGCGAACATCAAAAAGGACATGGTCATCTTCAACACGGTCGGCCCTGCCAAGCGCCACTCTTTTCAGGTCAGCGGTGGTGCGGTGGTGGCAGAGCCTCGGGCACCGCGTCTAGACAACTCTCTGCGCAATGGAAAGGAGTGGCGGACCTTTGCTCTCAATATGGATAATGATCTATGCGTTCCTCTATATGTCTCCGCCGACAAGAGCCCGAAGGCCGTCCGCACGGAGGCCCAGGTCAAGCGCCTTGCCAAAATCATGCAGAACATCAAGCCCGACTTCGACGCACGTACACACATAACCCTGGGCTACATATCGAACCGCGGCGAAGCTATGGTGCGCCTTCTTGTTGGTGGCAACGCTGACGTGCCCACTAAGCTCCAATGGTCACAGGCCGCCATCGGACATGGCATTACAGAGGACGAGCAGAAGCAGATCGCCGCCGAGTTCACCAGCAACTTCGCAGACCCCCTCACAGCCGCACAGTGGCTTTAGCCATCGCTGGAGCCCGTGGCTCCTGAAGCCCTCACAGGAGGGCCTGAACCTCGCCTTCTGGAACACACAAGCTCTTCTTGGACACTCAGACCAGCGCCGCGCCGACAAACGACAGCAGCTTCTACCATACTTCCGCCAACGGGCCCTTCTCGCAGTGCAAGAGACGCATGGCACCCTGGACGACCTCACGCTGCTGGCAAACTCCACTCAGCATCGGTACAAAGCATTCCACTCGCCCGTGATGATTGACGACGCCCCCGTGACCAACGCTGGCGGCATCGGCTTCCTCGTCCCGTACGACAAGGCTGAACTCCAGCTTCCTCCTGAAGAACGGCCTCATCTCAGGTTTGAGGTCGTCATCCCTGGCCGAGCCGCCTGGCTTCGGGTCACGGATGCCAGCCCCCAGCATGAAGTCACCGTCCTCAACATTCACAACTTCGGCCTGTCGCCAGCAGATCGGCTCCACCTACGAGACCAATGGCATGCCCTACGCCAACACGCTGATGAACTCCCACAGCAGCGGCTTCTAGTCATCGTCGGCGACTTCAACGTCTCTGAGTCCCCGCCCCGATCGATTAACACGCCAGTCGTCTCGGACACCACAGCGGCGCAGCGATACCAGTACCAGCCTGTCTTCTGGCGCAACCTGTTCCGCGACGTCATCGAGATTGCGACCCCCTCGACGACGCACAGAT